GGAACCAGTCATTTGTCCTGTGTCACATTCATAAGCCACAGGGAAAAGCTCAGAGAAGGAGCTGGTTGCATGTATTGTGCCAGGTGACATTTTACTCTCCCAAGCTTCTGGCACTGAAAGATATTCATATATTTACAACCTTTCTTAAAGTCATCTCTGCTGTGTCTCCAGCTGAGCCATTAAATATTAATTGGACCTGCTTTCCAAAAATAAAAAGCAAAACCTCTAATTTACTTGTGTAATTAACACCTCCCACGAACCAGGTGTCCTCCTGAACAGACCAAGCAAGCCATTTGCTCTTCACAATCCTGAAACATACTATGTGCTTTTGAGACAGACACACAGTTGCTTGTTGATTCTATGTGCAGGAGTGCACATAATTATTTGGGGAAAAAAAAAGCCTTAAATTCAACAGAAAATATGCCCTCCAGGTAATGTAGTCAAACCTTCCCACTCAAAAAGGACAGTTTTCTTCCATTTGGGTTTTATGCTTTTTTTTTTCCTTGTTTTTTTTTTTTTAAACACTTTACCTATAGGAGTTTGAACATCTTGTCACATTTTGTTTTGTTCAACGAGCCTTAATGCTGCTAAATTTCTCAAAGAGCTCAAATTTTAACCCATACTTGTAAAGAGCATAGTCACTCTCTGGCCGCGTAAGAGCTTTTGTTCCCACATGGTTAACCATGTAATAAGATTAAGATTGCAATTAGCTCTGAAATTTAAGTTTAGTACCAGCATTACTCGCATTAAGACAAAGTAAATATGTAGTCAGTAATCACTGAGCTGTGCAGATTATTTGCAAAACTTTATTAGGTGCTGATTTACCCAGATGAATAACATGCCTGCTGTTCAACAAGGCTAAGGAACTTGTGGAGGGAAAAATTCACAGAACCCAAGGTCCTCATTGGTCAGCTGCCATCTAAGCTCAGAGACAGGTAAGTTTTCAGTATCAGATAACCCCCAAAAAACTGCCTTTTTTTTTTATTTTTTGCATTTGGACTGAAGCACATCCATCTTGTCAGGATTTAGTGGGCTAGGATCTAGACCATATCTAAAGCTTTTGGGAATCTGTAATCTAGGCACTATTTCACCTTTATTGCCTCAGAAACTCAGTCTGACTGTCAGTCTCAAAGTTTACCTGCAATATGGGTGCTAGGCAAAAAAAAAAAAAAAATTCTCTTTGGAAGAGGCAACTCTTTTCTTGATAAGTAAGAAACTTGAGCACTTACCTAGGAAATAGGGCACACAGACTTGCTTCCTTCTTCTGAAAAGTCAGATTCAAAACTCCATCCTGGATGTCACCAGAAAATATCCAAACCCTCAGGCTTGGACATACTTTGGTGAAGGTGTGTTAGGAATAAACAAGCAAACAAAAAACAACAACAACAAAAAAAGCAGCTGAAAGTCTCTTCAGTTGCCCAGACTAATTTATTGTGTTGAAGAATCCATATTCTGGCTGCCATTAGGAGGAGACCATCACCCAGTGAAGGTGCAATTCTCAACTCCAGCCTCTGTAGCCAAAATATGTTTGAAGAAAGGGAGAAAAATTTTTTTGCCAATTCAGATTGAAACCAGAAGCTGAAAAACCACAGCCCAAGGTTTTTTTTGAACCCTACTGCTCTGAGGAAATAATGCTTCTCCCGCATGCTCTTTAAGAGCTCACCAGAGTTTTCCCTAAGCAGTCACAGGTGGGTGACAGCAACTTCTGTGAGGGAAGTCACAGTATCATGCAGCTCCTGCTGACTCACGTGGCATTTCCAACTCTACAACACACCTGCCAGGTATTTGATAATCTCTTTTCTCCTAGCAAAAGCCACTCCAAGCTGTCTTGCAGGAAATCCAGATAAAGTTTCCTGGAGCACTACCTTTGAGTTGGCAAGAGTGTGTCAGTGGCAAGATGCCATTTTGGATATCACACTTCAGCTTTGTTGGAAATCTGCTGCTCCAAACTAACCCTACTGTCAGGACTGCATATCCAGTGTTTGTTTTATCTAAAAGGTCAGGAAGAAGGAATCCACGACCTTGCTGCCTCTGGTGAGTGCTCCCATCATGTGAAGCATATGTTCTCACCTCCAGTATAGCACTACATCCTTTGATACTTTCTGCAGCATCCCAAAAAATGGGGGCAAAATGTGGTTTCCCCCTACCTCTTCCTATCCCCAAATAACTGAGAGCATGGCAACTAAACACCATGCAAGCAAGAGTTTTGCCTACCTCAGGAAGCTGGGGGAACAAAACTGAGACCCCCCAATTGAGTGCTTCCTGCTCAGTCAGAAAAGCAGAGCAAGCCCTTCTCTGGTGGGGAGGGGGTGGAGAGAAGGGAGAAAGAAAAATTTACCTGCAGAACTGGCTATGCATACTGAGCAGAGGGAGATACCTTCTGGGAATGCTAAACAAGGCACTTAAACTGCATTGCAAATCAAGACTGAGCAAACCAGCTCTCCTCACCCTTCATTTCTGGTGTCTTTCCATTTGGAACACACTGTAGACCTTAGCTTCCTAATTCTCTATGGAAATGAAATCAAAAGATTTTCTGGAACACCCAGCACAGGCTTAAAATCCGGTGGTTTTTTTTTTTTTCCCCGCCATCTAGACCTAAGCACCTTCGGAAATGTTCAATGTTTTGTGAGGTTGAGTGGTATTGTAAAGTGTGTGCATGACAACACCCTCAGCTGACATGAATTAGCTTCATTAATTAACGTAATAGCAGATGAGTAGTTTATGTTCTGTTTCATACCTTTAAAATGTGGCTTATAGTTTAATAGCTTTAGAAGTTTATTACTGTAATAGCTCTAAAGTTCACTATTATTTTGTTTCTCCTCTAGTCTTTTTTGTTAGTAAGAAAAAAAAATATAAGTAAAGCTTTATTTCATTTGTATGTCTCAGAGGTGACAATTTAATACACTAACTATATGTAATATATTCCTTTCTTAAAGTGCATACCATTTGGTTTAGGAAACCAAAAGTAAGCTAAGAATTGGAGCTATCATTTAACTGATGTTTATTCACAGATAAATGCTGTAGTCTATCAAAACGTTTTGGCATAAACCAACTGAAAAATAACAGAAAATTTAGCATCCCTCCCACCCCGCACAGAGATATCTGGTCCTTATGTTGCAGCTGAAATGAAAGACTGAAGCATCAGGTTGTGTAATGGCATGGCAGAGGGGGGGAGGCATGTGGAAGCAGTCAGGAAGATAGTAAAACTGGAAGGATTCCACAGACAACTTTTTTTTTCTGAAATACTGTATTTACACAAAATTGAAGAGAGTACAAATACTTTACTAAGAAGACAAAACCATTATAGTACATTCAATTCAAACACAGGCAGAACTATAGATGCAAAACACAGAGGCCTAAGCTACTTGCATGGCAAAAAAAAAAAAAAGGCAATAGAAAGGCCTCAGAGATTAATATCAGGAGATAAGAGAACATTGTATTTGTTACGCAGCAGCACCTTTCCTTGACTTCAATGGGGTTTCAATAAGGCGCTCTCCTTCCTCATTGTGGATGGTGAGAAAAACCCTCTCGATGTGTTGACTGCTCAGTACTGATTTTACAGAACCATTAAGCATGTACTTAATTTGCTGCATGGGAACCGAGCTGTTAAGTTCAAAGGAAATTATTTTTATGCCTAATCACATGCTTATATGCTCACTTTGACCAGGAGTAGCCTTCTCAATGCTTAATAGGGTCAAGTCCATTTTTACATAAAAAATAATTATTCTTTACTGTATTTTTTCTTAAAATATACTTTAGAGTTGCTTTAATTTTCTCCTTCTGTACTCAATTAGAAAATAGTAGTTTATTGAATGCCATATAATATTTTGATTCATGTCTTATATAATCAAAGGAATAAAATGTTCAAAAAATAATTCCCACATTTTCCAAAGGCTGTTAAGATTTAATAATAAATAAAAGAGAAAAATACATATCATAATAAAGCAGCTTCGTGTTTCTGGGCATTTGGCAGCACGTCTGTTATAATATCTCTCAGACATCTCTCAGTATCAGTTAAAATCACCAGATCAATTGATCATTATAAAAGAAAAGATTATACAATATTATTACAATCCACCAAATATAGCCAATGCATGAAATATTTTACACATTGTATGACCCTTAAAAAGAATTAATATATTTTAGCCTCTTCTTTGAAAACAGATAGCTTCTGAAGTAATATATCTTAAACACAGTGGTATCTGTCACTTCTACTGTCTAGTTGATTTTTTTTTTTTTTTTGGAGTAAAAGCTTGTTTGAATAGGACTACTAGCTCAGTGATGGAACTACAGTGCTATTAACTAAATTCCATATATGTCTTCATTACTGTTGCTGCAATTATTGTAATCACATACCACTGAAGTGCTAAATATTAGTAACTCAGATATGTGGACTTTGGTTATGCTTGATAGAATACTGGCATATCAAATATATGTACCACTTCCTAAAGGCTATGTTACAATCATGATGCCTAGTAATAAATAATAACAATCTCAGATTCAAAGTGCTGACCCTTATCACTCACTTGAGGCACCAATACAATAAATCAATCAGTTAAAAGACTTATCTGTCATGTTCAGAACTAACAGAGCAGATCCAGAGCTGCCAAGTTACATGTGCAGCATGGAGGACTCTCAACCTCTCCTTCCAGCCTGGGGATTCCTGTGGTCTCAGCAGACGTTGGAATATCAGGACTGATGTGGGACGCTCCAAAACATGCCAAGTCTTCACACATGGAACATTAAAATCTCTCTAAACTTCTCTAAAGGCTCTCTTAAACCCCCCTCGAGCCTACTCCATTCACTCAGGGACAAAGCTTTGCCATATATTGTACTTGGCTGCAAACCAGGGAAGAGCCTTTCTTGAAAGTCCACAATGAAATGCGTTGCATTAATGCAGCTTTCGCACCCTGGAGACACTGTCACCACGAGAAGGAAAAGGCAGCTTTCCAGGAGCCGCAAATACCTGTCTCACTTGAAGGGCAAGGCTTTTCATGTTGTTAGTTTGTTCTGTGCAAGCAGTAATCGTTTTCAGTGTCGAGAGAGCTGTTGTACCCCGATGACGGATACAGGTCCCTCTTAAGTATCCTATTGACGATGTTGATCAGAACTTTTTTGTACTGTTGACGTAAAAGTGAGTAAACAAATGGATCTGATGCAGCCTTACTGTAGGTGAGGCACTTGCTTATAATTCCCCAGTAGTAATTTATGGTAACAAAAGGAAGGAGCTCTATCAACCTGTTAAACATTAAAGAGAGAGAAACACTTGAGTGTTATATTCACACTGAGCCCAGCGCTCAACTCGTGCTTCATGAAACATTAAAGAAACACTTATTTTCTTACAGTACACAGTCCCTGCAAGAGAAGGGCCCTGTACTTACTTACTCCTTGGATTCAATAAAGGCAAAGGGAACTTTCCTAGCAAGGCCACTGGGAGACAAGAATCATTCCCTCTATGGAAAGAGAGAAAAAGTATGTTTTCAATGTTAATGCTCCGATGCATCGGAGATAAGAAAGTGCTGCATTTAGTTGCTCACTTTCTGAATTTAGAGAGTTGTACTGGTAAGTGGTCAAAGCCTTGGTGACATAATTGACTACCCCACTCCCTTGATACACTTGAGACAGACACATGTGACTTAGGGCATCCAGGCTCACTCAACTCAGTTGTTTAAGTACAGCTGTCTAGTGACACTTGAGACATTTTGGGGATAATGCCCTTGGCATCAGTCTGCTGCTCCTGGAAGTTGTGTGTCTCCTCTAGGTCCTGTGTCCTATCTGCCCACCTGTGTAGAGGTTTTGGATACTAATGACACCAGAAACCTGGTCTAGATCACTGAATCTCCCCCCTCAGTTAGAGAACAGTGAACCTGCATTACACCGCTGCTGTGAATTATCATATATGCAAAGAGAATTCATTTTAGACCATTGTAGTACGAAGAACGTGGCAGTATCTCAGGGAGATTTGGGTGGCACCTGCAATCCCATAGTATGCTTAGGAGCACAACTGCATCTACTTACCTGTGAAAGTTTCTGCATGCACTTGGCTGACTGCTAGTTTGGCCAAAGAAAACAAAGAGACAACACTTTTATCATCATTATATGACCAGCCAGCTGTCTCCAGACCTGTGTCTCCTGGTCTGTGCTTCACAGATGATTACTGGCCTCAGCACCTCAGTTGAGATGGGTGTATTAGTCATGGGGGGAGAAACCGCAACTAAGTTAAACAGCTTTTTTCCACAGAAGTGAGAGCAAACCTTCAGACTGTTCCAGCAAATGTCTGGCATACAGCTCTTCTGCAGAGGACAAACTCTCCAGGAAGGTGGAAAGAACAGGTGAGAAGTTTTTATTATATGTACATCTTTTGTGAAACCTTTTGCAGGAGCAATAATATACTATTATGCTACATTCATTCCAGAAGGGGAGGGGGAAAAAAAAAAAGTACCATGAGATAAAATAGCCTTTTTCTGTACCCTAAAACATCACTGTACGAAGATGTAAGATCAGATGCTTTCATAAGGCTTGAAAAACCTTTTGGCCTCTTTCCACAGTGCAGAGCTCCCAACTTGCAGGACGTTGACTTTTGAAGCTTTCCAATCCCTCCGCACAGAAAAGCTGACTTACCACCCCTAGGACTGAGCATTGAAGTTGAACTCTGACAGAAAAATTTCTCATTTGTATGCAGAAAAGTGAAATCATTCCTATGGCAAGTGCATTTAAAAATCAGAAGGCTTCTGTTTGAAGCTGCTTGGAAAAAATTCCAGTGAATTCAAAACAGAAAGAACAGGAAAACACAAAATGTGAGAAATAAATAAATGTACAATAAATGACACTTGCTGCATGGTTGCTTAGGTTCATCTCATCCTGTATATCATCCTAATGCAAGAAATATACGTTTGATATTTAAACAATTAATATTTCTAAATAAGAAGACTAAGGTATCTTTCAGTCATGTTCCCCTTAATGTATTATGGGCCCAAACATAATTGCACTGAAGCCAACAGAAGAAAAATTACACAGATTTTAATAAGATAAAGGGCCTGGCCAAATCAAGTCAGCCTTAGAAATATCCATCTGAATACATCTTAGTATCATTTTCTTGTTTTCAGTGCTGTTACAAAAAAAGATGAAATTCATCTGTCAGCTCTTAGTGAACAGACGATTATATTGCTAATGATCATAATCTCATTCACATTTCTGAAATAAGGAGCAAATACTGAGCTCACAACACAACCTGATTCACCAGGCCAAAGAGCAAGAAAACAGGGAGGGTATCTTTCCCATTGTCTTTATAGAGATTGTTTCAATGCCACCCCCCTAAAAACTAGAATGGTGAAAGGACGGAGAAATGGGCATGGCAGCAAGTCCTCCACCAGCACCTTGTGCTGCCTGAACACTGGGGCAAAGTGCCTTTGAGGATGTCCTCCCCAAATACTTCCCATTTTTCTGCTACTGGCCCAACTCAGTCCTTGTGACTGAGACAGAAGTTGTACCTTGACACACACATTTACCTAAACAAACCCTCAGCCTTCCCTCTAGTGACACATGAGGTGCCAGTTTCTCAACACACAGAAAACGCGCCATTTCACATCTGCCAAATGCGAGGTCTAGGGAAGAAAGTCACTTTTATTTTAGAAGTTTGTAAGAAACGTCTCCATCCTGAAAAACTCTGGCAATCCTGGAATTTGCTGAGCTTGGTAGTGTTCAGATGGAAAGAAGATGGCAAAATCCACTTTGTTCAATATAATTATATCCTGATTATGGCAAAACGGAATAGAAAATTACTCAGAATGTACTGAACAGTGATAAATTAACCTTTTAACTCTGTGATGTAATGTTAATATTTTTAATAATCCTTTCAACTGCAGAAAAAAACCCAGTTATCTAGGCAATCAGTCAGGAATCCCTTTCAACGTACAAATGGGAACAGAAATAAAGGTCATCCTAAAGATTAAAAACATAGTCATTTTTGTACATTAGCCTAAATCTGCCCCCGTACCTGTGTAAAAAAAGGGTAATGATCATAAATGATCATGAATGACCTATACATATATATATGTGACTGTGTAAGATCAGTGTGCTAAAGCTGGCCAATTTCTGTAAGCCGGTGTGGCTGCAGACCCTGGCAGCTTGGCAGAGACCTTAAGGAAGCCCTCACCAGAGTGCTTTTGCAGACCAGTGTGCCTTACTTGACAGAAGTCGGTTCTCTTCAACGGTGTCTTGAACATACCCTGAAGCAGGAAATATTTTTTAAAAGTCCCTTGTGAAAGATGTAGCATTTTGGTTTAGAGATGAAAGGCTAAATCCTGAGGTGCTGCAATTCAGTATAGTTGCATTTGCTTCCAGCTCACTGATTTATGCAAGATTTTAAAATAATAACCATATGTTGTATAAAGACAGAACGAGAATGATGCATGACTACTTAAAAAGGTGTAAACTACCAGGGTGGATGCCAGTAACTGGCCAATTGAGGAGCATGGTGTTTCCTATATATTTGAAAATCTAATGATTAGTTTTCCTATGAGATAACTCTTATGCTTCATCACAAGGACATGCTGCACCACTAACAATATATTTACATTAATGTTTCCAGACGCAGAGCTTATCTGACAATGTAACAGCCTGGATAAATTTAAATTATGTCACCTCAGCTTCCAATAGCAGCAAGCATGGCCTTATGCCTTTAAAAACAAAACAAAACAAAACAAAACAAAACACCCCAAACTGAGCAAATAAGGAAAAGCTGCCTGCCTTCCTCTCTATTGCTTGTGTTGTGGTAATAAGGAAAGGTGGTGAGTCTTTTAAACTGCTTTTCATCTCCCACTGGCACCTAATTAATTCCCAGTACTTGCCCTAAAAGCCTTTTACTCTTGGCAGAAGCACCCAGACCTGGCTGCAATGAGGAAGGAGAGCCAGAGGCTGCCGAGGCTTTGCCCAGCCAGCTGGGCATGCGGGCAGGGTTCTGGCTCTCCCTTAGGCTCTAGCACCCCAAAATTAGCCGTAACCCCCCTCCCCGGGCACCTGCCCGTCAAAGAGCATACCGGACCTGGCAAGTCCCCCGCCCCAACAGGCGATACTAACCTGGTGATTATGTAAGGACCAAAACAGATCACGAACGACCCTATAAAAATACTGATTTTCTTGGTAGCCCGCTGCCTCCTCCGTTTCTGCTCATGTAGACAGCGCTGCTTGACGCTGCAAGGGGAGAAGAGCAGGCGGCGGGTTAAGGCGAGATGTGAGCCCCAGGGAGAGGGGAAGGACTCGCTCCCGGCCGGAGACCCCTTGCCCCCGGGAGGGGAGGGCAGCCCCGGCCCGGGAGGAGGGCAGCTCCCGGGGGAAGGGCGGGCATCTCGGACCCGTGAGGGTGGCAGCCCCCGGCGGAGGGGGGGGGGTGCAGCCCCGGGCACGCCGAGCCTGGAAACGATCCCACTCCCCAAAGCCGCGGCTCCCCGTTAAAGGCAGCTCGGGCGAGCTGGAGCACCCGGCGTGCGGGCTAGCATTTAAACAAAGCAGGCTACAAATGCACGAGCCACAGTCTTCTGGCTCTATACGCGGCGTCTGAAACCAGAGGCGGAAGGGTTCGGTGTGGCCGGGGCAGGCAGGAGCGCAGGAAAGGGTGCTGGGGGGACAGGGCATCCTCTCCCCTCGGGCTACCTACGGCAAGTGCCCCGGGGCTGCGAATAGGAACACGCACGCGTTACCTGGGGTGGATATCCACCAGCAAAACCAGAGTCTGCATGGTAATAATGTCTATCCGCTTGCAGTGGAACCGGGCAACTTTCAACACCTTTAAATAGGTGAAACACAAGATCACCAGCGACAGCATGAAACTGGTGGAGTGAAAGACGATGGTGAACACTGTAAACCTTCTCCGCTCTGTCTCTTCCTTCAGGTGCAAGGTGCAAGAGGCATAAACGCTGCTGTAATCTACCCACGAGTAAAACAAGGATACCAAGGGGAACGTGAGGGAGTGGAGCCACGAGTAGCCCATCAGTATCACAGCGTCCTTATACCGCATCTTGCTGGTGTAGCTTAAGGGGAACACCACGGCAATCCATTTGTCGATGCTGAGCGCTGCCATGCTCAGCATCGTGTTGGAAGTCAGGAAAGTTTCCAGGAAACCCACCGCTTTGCAGACGCAGCCCCCGAGGGGCTGCTGGTTCTTCAGGATCCCCAGCAGGGTGAAAGGCATGTTCAGGACAGTGAGGAGCAGGTTGCAAAAGGATAAGTTCACCAGGAAAACCCCGGCGACCTGCTTGCGGATCTCCGTACTGTAGACGAAGCATAGCAGCACCAGGAGGTTGGAGAGCAGAGAGACAACCAGCACCAGCACGAGGAGCAACGCCAGCAGCACGCCTGCCAAGTCCATCTCTCAGCGGGTCGCCTGGAGCGGGCGAGGGCAGGAGGAAGGGGGCAC